CGGGCAGGGGCCGGGCGGGCAGGAGCCGGGGCCGCGGGGCCAGGCGCAAGCGGCGCGCCGGGAAAACGCCTCGACAGGCTGAAGAGCGAAATCGTCCTTTCGCTGGATGCCGAGGCGCTACCCCCCGCGCCTGAATGACGGATTTAGCAGAGCATGAAGTCTATCGCAATTATGTCGGCGGCCGCTGAGCAGGGCGATTACGTGGCTCGCGTCAAATGGAAACCAACGTGCAAAGCGGGCTTCGAAATTACCAGCCCAAATGACCTAGAATCCCAAACGGAGCCCGTTTCTGTGCGTTATCATCCGAGCCCCAAACACACGCCAGGCTAAGCATTCAGGAAAGACTGACAGACAAACCCCCGCCATCACAAAGGCGCGTTTTGCCCGGGTCCAATGTCAGGCGTCACACACGTGTGTATTTGCACACACATGTTTCAGTACATCGGGACCAGTACGTGCTCCAGCACTAACCAGCGCTCTCCCGTGCCCGCGCTCGCTTTAGCGGCACAAATGGCAGGAGAAGGCATGTCTGTCTGGGGGAAGGAAGGAGCTGGACCAGCCCTCGCTCCTCGCCAGATGTTCAGCTCTTTCCTGGCGGACGCGGCGCTCCGATAACCAATACAGGGTTGCTGATCGAGAATTGCCGGGTCAGTGCCCCGCTCGTCTCTTTGTCCCCACGGCTACCTGCGAGTTATTTTACTCCCCTGGTAAAGCAAATGAAGGTCGCGGTAACGAACGAGCGTTTTCTTTGTTAGCCGCTTTTTTCGAGTCGGTAGCTACCGATTCATTTCCACTGCCGGGCGGATTTACGCCCGCGTGTAAACGCAACGGATCAATGATTTCAATGGAAAACAGGCATTTCGCTTTTTTAAGAGGAAAAAGAAAACAACTATAAAGCAGAAGAGATTCTTTAGACAATGCCTGGAAGTGAAGTAACAGGTTAACACAACGTCTAAGGCGCTGGCTGTCTCAAAATACCCGTTATCCCTCTATAGGTACGACAGCGCCCAAAACCGATTTTTGGGGGGGGGGGAGCTCCAGACCCTGAAAGAGGTTCCCAAAGGTTTGAAAAAATAGGATGCTGTTTAGAGGAGACTTACCGAGGGGGCGAGCGGACCACTCTTACTGCCGGAGTCCAGGCAGGCAGGGCGACTCCCGCCTGGG